CCACAAATATAAAGTAATATAGAGAAACTAATATACGGAAAATGGTGACTCCCAAAGTAGTTTTTTGGACGTTGTTTAAATATCTTTAGTTCTATTGTACATTAGGTAGAAAGGTATAGAATCCTATTAATAAATTCTGTCGAGTTGTATACTTTTAAAGGCATTGAACGTTCGAGCGAACTTTTTGTAGACATCTTGCCCTCGTTTTGGATTAGATTCCAGCATCACTGGGCAAAAAGGTACCCGCCATAATGAGCTCTTTCAATGCCCCGAAGAGCGGGTGGCTCGAAGGGGGGTGGTGGAAAAGTGCAGGTTGCAGCACCTTGTTGCCGTTCGGCATTGTGCCCACATGAAGGACTCGGGCGCTGCTGCAGCGGCGGCAGAATCCACGAAAAGTCGATGGCCACAAAGGATGTTTTGTTTGCTGTAAATGCCCACTGTGCAGCAGCATGCACACACACGTGCCCACCTTAAATTTCCAGCTAATGTACTCACGTGCAAACACCCACTCATGCACACACACACACACTCGCGCACATGCACACACCGATGCAGAGTACAAGTAAACAGAAAGTGCAATGCAAGCCACTAAAAAGTCCAATGCCGCCGGCATGCATTTTGTATTGCATACTTTTCTGCGCCGTGGCCGAAAGAAAAAGAAAATTGCGGGAAAATGGCGAATGGTTTGGGGTGCTGCGCTGGCGAAATGCAGTGGAAAATATTGTGCAAAGGGCGCGGTCAGAAGTTGACAACGACAACAGAGCCAACAATGAGGCATTTTTAATGTGACCATTAAACAATGGCAACGAGGACAATGCACACACACACACACACATTCAAGCCAAAAAGAGGGAAAGAAACGCATTGACTGCAGTGGACGGCGAAGGAAACAGTTAACCCAACAAACCAAAGTTGGAAGGAAAATACCAAAATGCTTAAGGCTTTGAATATCCCAAGTTGCTTTTATTTTAAGGTGTTAAAATTTGATAGGATTGGAGTAATATGTATTAACATTACTTTTGCTTTAATTTGTAAGCAGCTATTCAATTGGGAAGTGCCGAATTAATTGGTCTTGAACTGCAATCAAGTGGCTCATTGGGATATCCGCCGCAAGCCAAAGTTTCCCAAGACGAGGAATGTACATATATATCTGTATATATGCAGCGCAGACTTCCCATTCAGCTGCTGTCAGTCGCGCGCGAAAACTTTTCAATACAAAGTATGAAGCCCATGACGCTACTAAAAGGAGACATTGAAGAATGCGACAGCCCCGATGAGTGCATCAGAGGGCCCAGGAGCAGGCCAAGAGCTATAAGCCAAGCAGCGAGCCACGTTGAGGAGTTTCGGCCGAGCCGAGCCACATACACAACTGAATGAACCGCAACAAAGGCACTCAACTGACTCCGATTGCGACTACGGCTACAAGGCTTGGTCATTGCCCATACAGGCGAAAAGGGCATGTCAATGTATTGTTTAAACTACTTTGGTATGTATTAGAACCATTATTATGCAGGTTTTATATTAGATTTTATGTGGAGCCCAAGCTGAACTGCAGAAATTGTGTATTTAAAAACGCTCACTTAACTTAAGCTGCAAACGTCATATTTTTTCACCGTGTAGGGGTCTGCGACTGCGACTCAAGCTGTGTCTTGCCACTCAGCCGCGCAACAAACCCCACCCACCGCCGCCTTCCCCTAGACGCTGTTGCATTTGGCCATGGACAAAACCGCAAGCAGGGCGAGCATAACAAGAGTTCTTTGAATGGAGTGGTAAGGAACGGAAAGGAACGGCATCGAGCTGAGGGAGGTGCCCTGTAGAAGGGAGTCGGATGGCTGACCGGGCAGCTGCCATGTCAAACTGAATGAATGGATGGGTATATGGCTGGAAGGCAAACCGACCACATGCAGCCCAACAGCTTGGCCAACTTATGTGAACGCACATGCACTGAAACAAAAGGCGCTAGCCAGATTTTAAGTCATATGTGTTACTTTCGTTAGCGCAATTTCCCTAGGCTTTTATGCGAAGGTGAAAGTAAAGACCAATTTTGTACAATATTTGAGTTGTTCATCATGCATTTCCATGAAATTATTGAAACGCTTCCCAGAATGAATTGCTCAACAGAATTTTAATTGCAATGCCCGAGCGGCTCACATTTTTCAGTGCTCAAACACATGCTTTGGCACATAAGAATGGAGTAGCTGAAAAGTGGGAACGGAGGTCCTGCCAACGCATGTCAAGCTGGCCGGCCAAGAAGAAAAGCTCATGTCCTCAATTGTGAATGCGACCAGAATTGTAGTTGTACTCATAGTCGTAGTCCCATTCCCATTCCCAATCCCAATCTCATACTGGTACTCGTGCTCATCCTCGAGCAAAAAGTTTCAATTGTCTCTGGCCGAGAATGTGTGAATGCGATTGTCCAAGTTTCTCATTTGCGGCAAGGGCTGGGATCCGTTTCGGTCGTTTCCTCGTTTCCTCGTTTCCTCGTTTCCTGTTGAATGTGGGCACAATTAATTTTTGTTGCGTACATGCAGCATGTGATCGCCAGGATAATGATGATGCAGATGGGCATGCCTCATGCGCCCATATTGTCCAATCCCAGGCCTGATAAATGCCCCACTTGACCCTTGCGCCAGTCGAGACGTCTCCAACTCGCAATTCGGGCGCCTGTCTTTTGTGGCCAACCGGGGGGCATTATCTCCATCTCAGATAGTGTCAGCACCAGAAACTTTCGCCATTAATGAGTTATGCAAAGCTCGAATGGAAGCGGGTGTGCACTTAGCGCCACATCCTGCATCTTGGAAATTTAATTCCAGCCTGGACATTTGCTTAACCCCACAAACGTATGAATCTGGTACTTGTCTCATATGCCATTTTTATACTATGTTTTGAAACTAATTTAATTTTATGAATATTTTTTGCCTGACAAATTCCGATTTTAGATTAGAATTTTTAAATTTCCAATATCATCCAAAAGCCTTGAAGGGAAAATAGGGGTTAAGGCTTGGCGTTTCTTTTCCAACATCTTTTGTCGTTAATAAAGCAAATGACCAAAAAGTTTTCAGCCAGGAAATTAGCATTTGGCAGCATTCGCTGTGAGCCAGTTTGGCCACAATGCCCCACCATTTTCCTGGGGAAATGCAAATGGCGGTCCAAAGTGTTACGGTTTCTGGTGCTGCTTTTTTCTCGCTTTTGCCACCGCGCAGTTGATGGGTAGCCATGATTAGTTTAGGTCGGAGGATCGCAGGCATAGCCGTTCCCTCCGTTCGCGCCACACGCCACACGCCATGCCACATGCCGCATGCCTCATGCCGCATGCCGCATTCTGCAGACCACATGCTCTCGCTGTTCTGGCATCAAATGTTTCGCACTGAGGCTCTGCTTTTAATATGATTGCAATTCGCGCTGCTGGATGGTCCACTTCGGGGTCCTGGATGCACTGCACCCTTGGTGCATCACTTTTTTCCCATGCGAGATGAAAGTTCAAAGTTGCTTGACCCGTGATCAGTGATAAAAAGAAATAAGCGGCATTTTCCTGCTTCGTAAGTGATATTCCCATTATTCCCATAATTCCTTGTCTACTCATTCCACCAGAAAGCTACTTCCCATTGCGCCAGGATGTGGTTTCTTCAAACGAGAAGAATTGCAAAAGAAAATTACAGTGGCAATTGCACACGAATGACATTTCTACTGGCGGCTGGACATTAGTTTCGCCTCGCTGGGCCCAAATGGTTTTTGGCCAGCCGTCAGTGTCGTCATAGTCCTGTTGGCATTGGACCATAGTCCTGCCACCTTTCGCTTTCCTTTGCTTTCCGCTAATTAATGTACATATGTATGGGTTCGTGTGATTGTGCGAGTGTGTGTGTGTGTGTGTGTGTGCCGGGCGTCAATTACTTTGGCTCTTGCAGTTGGCCGGTTACAAATTACAGGCTATGAAGGCGCCTCGCCTTTCATGTGGCGAGTGCTTTTTTTAACTTTATTGGCAAATCAATTAGGTGGCTTCAAATTGTGTTTGGCTGCTGGTCAGCGCTTAATTTATTTGATTTCATTGACCGACCAAACGAGCTTTCCTTCAAATGAATGCCAAAACGTTTTGATCATTTTTGCCGAATGTATGTGGGATTATTTTGGCTCTACCCATGCCAGATGTTGTGGCTCTCGGTTCTCTGCGGTCGTCGTTATTGCCAACAATCAGTTATGGATCGTGTGGTGATGGGAGGCGGATTTTTATAGAGGGCGGGGAATCAGCGTAAAATTTAATTAGCATTAAGTGTGTTGGTTGTGGCGGTTGTTCGGGACCGTTGTTGTTTGCTACGGTTTCGTAATTTGTTGTTAATTACTTTTTGCAGAGCGGCTTTTTATTGGAAATTAACGCCAGCAGGTTTTCGGTATTTCAGTGTGTACTTCTATTTGTTTGCGTCGCTTGGCGGTGGCAGGGGAGGCGGTGGCGGGGGGTATTGCTACTTAAATTGAAATCAGCCATAAATAGGCATTAAACTTGGTACATAATGATTTTAATGGCGGTTTTCTATATTATGCTGATTACTGTAAATTTTCGGTTTCAATTTGCCCGTTGTTATCGATTTCCCCCTTATCTGTTTTTTGCTGATGGCGATGTTGTTACTGTCGCTGTCTTTTTTCAATTTGCCCCTGTTTGTGTGGCATTCGAAATAAATTTATCTAATGACTCTGCCATTATTTGCCATTTGGGCGCTTATTTACTTCATGGCGCATTCAATGCGTTGATTTATGGGATGTTTTAAAATTTGCATAACGTTATTAATTCCACTCAGAATTCAAAATGGCTTAAGATGTTCAGGCTGCAATCTGCTTAGATAATCAATTTTAAGTTCGCTTAAATGATTTCATACCTTAGATATAACATTTTATTTACACTTTACATAGCTACATGCACTTAATTTGTTGTTTACATGGCCATGAATTACCTGTCACATATGCGACGCATTTATTTTTAAATATATTCCATATTTATATGCACTGAAATGGATGCCCTATCCTTATCAAGTGACTGCCGATCTAACAAACAAACAGCTGTTCAAGTGCTTCTCAAGAAGACCAGGGAAAGTGTAACCGAGATCTTTAGTAAGTACCGCCAGAAAGTGGGCGATGGAGCTCGCCAGGCGGTTCAAAGGGTCAGAAGTCGCCAACTAGTTGGCCTCATAAAGCCAAGTTTGCGTTGTACAGCCAAACGTCAGCGGTATGTAATTGCGATCAATTACAATTTAAATTTAATGGAATACACCAGAAAGTAGTTCCGCATCTTGCCAACATTGCTTTTACAATTTTGCAGCTTCTTTAAAAACCGCGGATGTGAAGAAGTGGCCTCGGGATTCCTCCTGATCCTGATTCTGCTGATATGCTTGCTAGGACTTTACCTGGCCAGGAACTACAACCACGCTTTTGTCTACGGCTCTGGCGGATGCCTTTCGACGTTTTTGTGGACCTACGATGAATGCCAAATAATTACATAGGCGTAAACGGTTTTGTTTGCATACGACCTTTATTGATGCTCAATTGATTGTGGCCACTAAACTGATACCAATTCGCGGAGCTCCCTCTTCGGCCAAAAGGTCAGAGCTTAATTGCATCAGTTTTACATTTTTAATCAGGCCACCACCGCACAGACAAAATGGTGACCTCCGCACCTTTAGCTAATTAGGCCGTTGGCAGAGTGGCTCTTTTTTTCACCGATAGGGGGCGCTGTCAATCATCAAGCTGTTTAAATAATAAATCACTTTAAAATTAGTTTGCCAACTTGTGCAAGTTGAGCGACAGCAAATTAGTGAAAGTTAATTAAAACTATTTAAATTGCAAATTATTTTAACGTTTTGCACACACATCCGCACATCCACACATCCACACGCCCAAAGACCTGAAGTCGTGTAAAAAGTTGGAAACGGAATTCACGCATACCGCCCACCAAAAGAAGAACTCCAGCCCCACATCCGTATGAATGTGCTCGTATGTATATGACTTTTCACAAAATGCTTAAATGAGGGAAATTAAAAAGGGGTGCAGGGCGCACACGGTGGAGTATCTAAAAAAATGTCAAGTTGCCCTGGGATGGATGGAAAAGTCAACCGAAAAAAAGTAGAAAAAGTAAAAAGAGGCGGCGGTAGGCGTTGGGGCGTGTACGTGTGGCGCAACAATATGCATATAAAAAGGGTTGTTAGACTTTAAATAGCAGGCATGGCCTATTATATGCATTAGGCCCCAGATATGGCGGGGCATTAAGATAAGGCACTTACGCCCAGCTTACCACGCTCCGTATTTCGTATTCCAAAGAGCCGGGACCCGGGTAACTCCATACACCTACGCAAAAGTTAATTTATGCGGGCATGTCTGCGCTATCCCCCCTCTCTTTCGCGCGCCCGTGTGCTGTCCCTTTCGCTCGGCAGTCTGGCTTGTTGAAATTTTAATTAAAGGGAAAATATTTAAGGATGCAGCAGCAGTAGCAGTACCAACAGCTCCACCGGCAGGAAGAATGAATACAAAAAAAAGTAAAAATAAAATAAAAAGCATAGCGCAGCGAACCAAAGTTGAATGGAGTCAACGGGATCGGGGAGTTTGTGGAATAACCCGCATACTCTAAAAACTTTTGGCCTTGCAAAGAACTCCGGCATCATCATCACTTGACAAGTACTTGGCTTCCGCCACTGACTTTTGCTTAATTCCTAATGATGGGATCCCAACTGCATGGCACGTAAACAGAGGTGAAAAATAAAACAGCGAGGCCAAAGGTTTGCCTCATAAACGTGAGATAATTACTCCGATGGCAAGGATTCTTCCCAGTCGGGTTTGAGTTTGCTTTTTCTTAGGAATTTGTTGGAGCTTGGCTAAAAAATGAAAGCGTGTGTGAAATATAAGGTTTCAGTTACTCTACTTGTATGCAACCAATAAACTGTGAAAGATATCAGCAATATCTTTTTCTAAAAACCAAGGGCCACATTGTATTGAAAAAAATCCCATCGATGAACTGCACTAAATGAACTCTTGAGAAGTGCAAATCAATTGGGGTCCCAAATCTGTGCACATTTAATTAATTAACTTTCAATTACCTTTGCAGAGCTTGCAACTCTTAATTAGTTTATACTTTCCGTATCTTTTGCTGGCCTTCCCAATCGAAACTCGAGCTCTTTGGCATGATTTAACCGTTGGAGTGCTCCGGTTGCTCCAGTCCTCGTGCTGGTATTTCAATTAGCAGCCTAATAGAGGCTGAATGACTTCTGACCCTGCAACGTGCAACAACTGACCGCAAGGAAGGCACGTCGGCAGCCTCCAGTTGCATTTTGGCCAGTCAGCCCGCATCTCTTTTAGGCCAACCGGATTTTTTCCGGCTCTAGTCGGAAGATCACGGGCAACAATGGGCGAAATCAGAATGCAGGGCACTTGGAAAAATTTCAGAAGTTGCTTTATTTTCGTTTTAATTAGAAATCTTACACATTTCCTTGCAAAAGGCGAAGCGAAAATGCGAAACCAATTATGCAATAGATTTCTTTTAAAGAGCTGTTTAAAAAAATATCGTATATACAAATCTAAGCAGGAATTAAGGCATTTAGTGCAAGAATTCAACGATTATTTTATTAATTTTTCAGCTAAAAAAATTTCAAATTGTTTGCCTTTCAAATGTTTTTTCTCTGCGTTTAAGCAGCAGCGGCGTTCGCAAATATCTCAATTGAAAATGACTTGGTACGTGAAATCCTCCACCTGATGTCTGCCTCCATTTTCGGGTGTGGTTGTGCGTCCGTGGGCCTGGATGTTGACCAGGCCGCTTTTATGGGGCTCTTCTAAATCAATTTGACAGGGATGCGGAATAGAGCATGCCAGGAACTCATCAAGACCGCAACGAGGTCCTCTTCAAAGCGATTAAACGTGGAACGTTTGCGTTAGTCAACATAGTTTGACATTCCAAATTAATGAGCACTTAGGCGCACGCATAACGCATTTATTTTGCGAGCAGGCTGGTATTGGGAAATGGGGTGCACGAGGATACTAGGATACGAGGATACGAGTATCTGTGTGCTGACACTTTGGCGATGAACCTGCCAGCAGGAAAGTAAAGTGTCTCTGACAGACAGACACCGATTTTGGTGGCTAGATTACGGCACACACATTCACTGGGCCATGATTTATATGGTTGCCACGTGGAATTATGCATGTACCAGGCCAGGGATTCTAATTATGACGCATTAATCACCGAGCGGCAAGTTTATATATCTGCTTTTTATGGCCTAGATATATAAAGAAAGTGCCATAAATTAGCAAAGATTTGTGGGCCTGGTCAAAATGCAAATTTCAGTATATAACCTTGAAGCGGATATTTTCGAGCACTTCAATGCGAGAAATCGAGAAATAAATGAGAGGTGAAATATAAATTAAAATAATAACCTTCACGTACGACTGGAAATTAAAAGCAATGACATTTCACACAGTCGCTCCCAACTGCACACATGGAATCGTAAAAAGCGAGGGAAAAAATGAAAGAAAAAAGTGAAATAATAAAAGTATAAAGCGGGAACTTAACGCGCGTCCCGCGATGAGAATAAAAATAAAAATCACCTCAAAGCAGTAAAAATAACAAGAAAAACTAAATTTTTCATAAATCCCCCAAGCAGCAGCAACGCAAAAACCTCATAACTGTGGCGCGCACACATTCCTATAATGCTGAAAAGAGGAAAATTAAATCAAAAACATAAAAATAAATATTAAATTTTTTCAGGTTGCCCGCGCTGCAGCGCCACAAAACAAAAAGTATAAATAAAAAAGGCAGTTCACGTTGCGTATACGCCACGTTGCGGTCGGATTCAGATCTGCCATTTTGGCCCCAGCTTGTTAAAGCTCACGTGGCTGTCAAACGATGTCAGTGCTTCCCCAGCAGCCCCCCCTCCCCCCAGAAAACGGAGCAGGAAATTAGAACGAACGCCAGCAGAAGTCGCACAAAACAAACAGACAAAAAGTTAATTGTATGAAATCAACACACTTAAAGTCAACAGCAACAACGAACACCAAACAGCGAACAGCGAACAGCGAACAACTCGAACAACAAATACGCTGAACATGTTGACAACAGTCAAGGGCAATATTAGGGGCAGGCCCCAGCAGCCCAGAGCACCACGACCCCGGAAAACCCCTGGAAAACCCCAGCAAAATGCTGGCAATGATAGCAGGCCGGGAAGGGGGCGTGGCAGTGGCAAAGGGGCGGTCGCTGGAGCTGAAGCTGAAGCTAAAGGCAGTCAAGTCGATCTACAGCCAACAGTCAGGCGTTGAAGAGCAGGCAAGGACCACCTCACACAGCTTCCAAGGACAGCTCCGGTGTGCACTGAAAAAAATAGTTTGTTACTAGTGATTAACAAATGGAAATGCCACAGCGCGCTCTCTGATGAAAAATAATGCAGTATCAACTGCTGTTGACTTAATGGAAAACCATGTTAATTATTATGGTAAGTATAATTCTGAAGAATCATTAAATTTATTGCACTATATATTGTGTGCATTGTAAATAAATTGCTAAACCATTTCCTTGTGGTATTTTTCCTGAATGTGACAAATGCTTGTATTAGATTTGAATAAGCCAATACTAGTAATACTTCTTTTACTTGTAATATACATTTTGTACAGTTAACAATTTTTCAGGCAAAACTTATATACCAAATTGATGAAGAATATTAAATAATATTTGATGCAGAATGCGTGCTAAAATCATTACGTAAAACATATTTTAAAAACACAGTTAATAAAAATGTGTTGTAATTTTTGTATCAAGCTTACATAGAAATATTTCAGATCCGCATACAATACAATCACTTTGATTTCTTAACCCTACCAGTTTCTCTCAGTGTGCGAGTGCGAAAAGAGTAAAATGATGAAGCTGCTTCTTGGCTGAGCTGCTCGCTGCACATGAAAAAGATGAAACTGCTCTCGGTGCTCGGTAGGTAAGCTAAATACTCAAGGAGCCCATGGCTGGGGAAGGACGAGGACCCGGCACAGGACACTCGAGCAGAGACAGACAGTGGAGACAGTCAGACAGTTGGCCCAGACAGAGACATACCTTGACACTCGCTTGCTCTTTGGCTAAGAGGAGCGAGGAGGAGAAGGGGAGCGCCGGAATGTGTCCTCGTTGTCGTACGAAAATGCTTGAGCAAATCGTGTTAAATCGCGTTTAAGTGTTAAAGTAATAAGCACTTTTAATAAATAAAGTTGAAAGGTTGCCGGGTATGTGGCTGCGCGGGTGCGAGTGCGACAGAGTCAACACAAACACGGCCAGACAAAGACAGATATTCGCAGGCAATTGCGGTGCTCAGGAACTTGTTTGTCTTCTAATGGTCGGGGTTATTACATTTCTTCTGCAGGTGATTTCGAAGGAAATAAATTGGAATCGACATTCTGGCTGAATAATCGGGATAATTGAAAGGCTCGTATGAGTTTGAGTGTTGATTTTAAAATCGATAGTTCACCAGTTTAATAAGAGGAA